CCACGTGTCAGGAAAAAATTGACACGTTTTAGTCCACTTTGACATGTTTTTTCGAAATTATTTCTGGTGAGGTAGAAGAGCATTTGTAACCACTTAGAAGCTCTCCAGCTGATATACATAAGAGCAAAACAATCTAGAACCATTACTAGAATATCTTGATTGCTTCTAGCAATGATTCAAGAATGTTTTTCTCTTCAAACTTTCCGCCATGCGAGTTTAGCCAGAAAAGTCTACAAGTGATCGCTTGAAGTAGTACCTCGCTGCTGCTTTTCACCGCTTAGGTGATGGAACCCCAGCGCACTTCTCTATTCTGGGCACGTCTAGTATGTTCATTGATAAGTGGGCGACGTTATTAGTGTAACAATGTCATTTTTGAAATTGTTTAGTCAAAAATAGGGTCATTTATTGACCAAAAAAGGTTGAGCATATGTCGCTAGGTAGGGCAACGCGAACTCTTGGTAAAACTTGTCAAACATGTAGGTGGCATGTCAAATTATTTTGGGCACGTGGCAGAACGTTGACACTCTTTCCTGTGAAGTTGGGAACAAATATGGTGCAGGGAAAGAAGCAGTATCCTTCTTTGCAAAAATGGGTCCGGATAACGGAAAAGTACCGAAAGTTCTTTGGTCCGAACGTGGCCAAATATTCTTTTTGAAAGCCCTGCTTTGAATAAAAGTAACTTAAAGGACTGTAGCGGGATAGCGAACTGCTCAATGGCACCTTATGTTCGGCTGAGCAGCAACACTGACCTCGGAATTAATTGGATTTTTTTACAAAAAGATTTTGCAAAAAGTTCAAAAATTTCTTAAGTCGCTCACCTTGAGATGGCAAAACAATGCAATTCTCGAAATTTTCTCTTGCAAATTGAATATGGGATGTAATAGGCTCACATTTGCAAAAGAGTTTTGCTTTGCATCGAGCTTACGATTTTTATCCGACTTATAATTATCGACGACATGTCGTAATTATTTTGGCAGAGGTATTATTGTCGAATGATCAAGAAAAATGAGAGAGGCCTCCTTCGAAATCTTTGGGAAAGTCATTAGCCTTTGAACTTGCAGTCCAGTAAAAACGGACGGTCAAATCGATTAGAAGGCGTCGCATATTGTAAAAATTAGTGTCTGTAAGGGGTATCACCTATTTTGGAAACAAAAGTCTGAGAACTTTCTGCACAAGCTCTCCGGCAAGCTCTGACTTGCTCTTCTCCAACTCCATGTAGGTAATCATCCAAGATGAGATAGGGCACGAGCACTTATTTTTTCGTATTTCGAATTTCCTAGTCTTGTTGGGTGATATACAGGGTGTCGCAAAAGTATGCATACACTGTTTGTTCGTTGATATCTCTTTTCTCAAAAAGTTTTTTTTGCCTATCCTTGAGCACCATTTTGTGAAGCTGGCTTCAGCTTAGATTTACAGTACGCAGTGAATCACCGGTCGCTATTCATTACTGTAGGATTGCGTTAGAAAATTCAAAAAGGGTTACTCATTTAAAGCTTTGCAGACTCTTCAAGAGTTGATAAAAGGAGTGAGCTTGAAAACCCTAATACACCACTTTTCAGATTTTTTGAAAACTTTTTTAGAAACACTGTAAATCCGTAATAACGCTATAGCTAAAATTCCTACCGTAATCCTACAGTAGTGAACAGCGATTGATTCGCTCCATACTATAAATTAAGTAAGGCCAGCTCTACAAAATGGTACCTGAAGCTGGGCAAAAGGCTTCATGGGAAAAGAGATATTAACGGTCAAACAGTGTATACATACTTTTGGGACATCCTGTATTGTTTGTCTTCATAGAACAGATGATACATTATTTGTCTTCACAGAGCAAAACCTGACCATCGGCCAGCTGAAAGAGTTACTGTCTAATTTATCTACTACTGTTGCACTCTTTGGATATTTCTTTGAAAAAACCGTTAAAATGTTGAGCTTGTATTAACTAAGGTAGTTGGAAAATAATAGGTGCACTTAGAAAATGAACGTAGCTTGAACAAAAAAGCTACTTGCGCAACTTTAGGATCTCTCGAAATTTCGGTTTTAGTCTCTTTGAGAGCTTTGACAGCATGTGGACAGAGTAAACAAAGTGCGGTACAAGGCATATTTTGGCACCCCCCCCCCCTCTACCCCCTCCCTACCAAATTTAAAATTCGGCCAAGCCAAAATTTATAGTACACCAATCGGCGAGAAATCTGGTTGCCATTCTCTGCAGCTTTTTCTCTTTTTTGACAGCTGTTTCCTTGTTGGTGGATTTTTCGCGAATGAAATTATCGCAACTACAATTTTGCTCGCCAAGGACTGCGAGCGAAATTGCAGAATTCGATATTTTGAAAGCGATGAGAGGGGTGTCATTGGTTTGCAAACTTAATGCTGGATGATAATCGAATTTGAATTTGAATCTGAATAATTTGAGTTTGATGCTTTTGTGTATGACACGACTCAACTAGAAACCTCAAATGTTAGAGGGTTGCTCAAAAATCCTTCATTGCACTTTACTCTAACTATCAATACTATCGCCGAATTTGTGCATGTAAAACTATAGGTTCGGAATGTATTTTGATTTCCACTTATTCCGGTAATCACGGAAGGAATAGTTCAGAAACATGACTGCTGAAAAGAGGAGAAACGCTGCATTAGAATGTTTTTGGGAAAGTTCAAAACGGCACGAGTATGCGAACAACCTTACACTCAAACATTCGCAAATGACTTTTCGGGAAAACCGAAGTTCTAAAAACAATCCTATTGAAGCTGTCATGTAAGGCGGGCCCAGGTAGGGCGAGGCCCACCCACACGGCCCAACAGTAGCGTCCGCCCCGTAAGTTTTGGAAATTCAGGTTTCCCCGGAAGTCATTTGCGATTACAGTGAGTACTTGAATAAATTTCAGCGACCTAGTATATCACGTCGTTTCGAAGGTTCCTTCCGTTATCTCGACCTTTCACAGAGAAACGGATTTAAAGATATAAAGATATATGATATAAAGACAGGCAAGCCCTTTACAGACTATTCAAAATGACTTTTCTTTCCGTCTCCAGCAATTATTTTTGGACTATTACGCTCCTAGGGCCGCCAGAATAATTGTCAGTTTTGAACTCATAGATCAAGCATGCCGCAACTTAGCAGCTTTTCAAAACTTTTGTTTTGGACTTTTTGGAAGAGTTTGATAACAGTTAGATAGAGTAAATAAAGGGGTAAATATGGGCAGCTTCAACTGACTATTCAGTGTTTTCGGATTTCAAAAGTCTTCACTTTTGCGGTCGTGTCATACACGAACGCACAAACATTAAAAATTTTTTGAGACTTGAAAGTTAAAAAAAATCTACTATAGCTTGACCTCAGTTATACAAATCAAACGAGCATCCAGCCTTCTAGATATCAGTATTGATTCGATTTTGAATGTCTCAAAGGATGCCTTAAAAAGAGATCTAGATATAAGCGATCTCAATGACAGCTTCGAACCAAGTTCTGAAGGTATCAACAATTCGGGTGATGATTCGGTTGTTTGTTTGTTTGTGGTTCGCCGATCGATGTTTCAAGAGTTTTAGGTTGTCCGAATATGAATTTGGAATCATCAAAAAAAAAATTATCTGACAAATTTTGAGAAAGAAATGTCCAGAAAGGCGATGTATTAGTATCAAACTTCATTTTTTCCTTGAAAAAACTAAAGGTTAAAAATCCGGCGATTATATGAGGGATGATACGAATAGTCAAAAGAACGAAAAGAATTTAAGGGTTTTTATAAAGTCCTAATGATATTCATGTAAATTTTATGTACGTGTGATCAAAAATCGATTACTTGTCTTATTCAAGTCTTAATTAACGCATAACTGCTAATAATGAATAGCAGTGTTGCGGCTCGGTGTGTAAGGATGTAACCTTGTGTCCTATGTCCAGGATGTAACCTTTCTGCGCTAGTATGCGCAAACCCTAGCGAGTCCGCTCGACGCCTTCTCCAAACGCGCACGAAAACCATCACAAACGCGACCAGAATAATTAACAGTTTTCAAGTTTTTGAAAAATATCATATTGATTTACAGTCATTTAAGGCTGAAAAGTTTTGCCTTTATTTTGATGATGTCGATAAGTGTTTTCTGAGCAGCTTGCGGATTTAAGGGCTGCATGAAAAGTTTTGTTGAAATCGGCCAAGAACACCATTATGTGATTTTCTACGTCTCGTACACTCAACCTATATTGCGAAAATTAGACTGGGAAAACGGACAGTTACCGCGCGCGTTCTATGGACCGAATATCTCTTCTTAAAAAGGCAACTGTCAAAGTTTTGCTTAATTTTTTGAATATGAGAGTAACATCTCTTTGACAATTTGCGCAAAAAAAACTTTTCTAACAATCCGTAAAGAACTATAAATTTTCATTGTTTGAAACTTTTGGGATTACAGAATTAAGTTTGATGACAGTTTGGGAGTTTCATTTTTTTTTTACACTTCTCAGAGCTTCTTTGTTGAAGCCCCCTCTATTCGCACTTGTACTAATAGCTTGCGGTGAAATAAACTATTTGTCAGCCGTACAAAATCTGAAGGGCCATGTTCTCTCAAATATTAAGTTTTAATATGACATTTAATGTATGGTTTTCTTTTTATTTTTGGTATCAATACAAGCTAAAATGCGAAGGTGCGAAAGTATTGATTCTTCTGAAGGTCATAGTCGAATAAGGAATAAAGTATAGCTGGAGTAGCTCCTTAAATCATCAGATTCTTAAAGTTAAACCTCCATTATTTTCACCAACTTTGTATAGATTTGTTTTGTGAACACTAGAAGATCTGATGCTTCGGTCCTTTTTTCGGAGAGCATATAGAAACGGAATTATGGGATAGCGATTTCGTAATTAGAAATACAGTCTGTTAGATTGACATAACCGTTAGAATACATACTACATAAACGGATAGGTCAATGTCAGACTCAAGATTGATCAGGTCCGTGGGCGACCTTTGCTTGCTGTATAAAAGTCGCCGGGAACCACTGAATTCAGGTTCACATCTTTACTGGGATGTTGAAACTCTTAGCTTTTGGATCGGTATGTTGCACCCGTATTCTTCATCGAAGTTCAGCCACTTTAACCAACATTTTTCAGTTATTGCTGCTAATAGCGGCCGTTCCTGCTAAGAATCGTAAGTTTATGTGATTTTTCAGTTTCAACTAAACAAACTTTTTATTAAGAGCAGGAAGCGAATAATGCGGAACTGGCAACGAAGGTGAGAACAAGGCTAGCACTCAGGGTATATCATACCGCTCATCAGAATGATACAAGCATAGTTAACATTGAGCTTCATATATCATAGAGCAATTTCCAAAAATTCTCAGTGCTCTAGCAATAATGACTGCTTCTTCACTCCTGAAGCTACACTATGCTAATTTTGGTGAGGGTAGACTTTTTTCACGTTTCAAAACTCTTCGTTGTGAAGAGACATTCGATCAAAACGTCAAGTCTTGCAATTAAATGAATAACACAACACTATGAAATCTAATGTGGTTGTTTCTTTGAGTCAGTTCAGAAACTTGAAGAGCAAAACTCTGGAAGCCATGATGATGATGAAATTAGAGCTGAGTACTTCATTGATAGATGTAAGATTGATGCAGTCAGTTTCTGAGTTAAGAAAAAATATTTTGGGAGAATAGTGGTAATGTCGCATGTGAGACTGCATTCGGTGTAGGTCTTTTCTTTTACATGCAACTGCATTGTTTTACCCAATGCTCTCACCAACTATTTTCTTTTAGAATTACAGTAGTGGTGCATACCCAGTAATTGAGGAGGAAAGTGGGGTGAGTGTGGAAACCGTCAAAAATCATAATATTACATCAAGTATTACCAACTCGGCGCTCTCTCCGGCTTTTCACCCAGAAAGAAAAAGAGCATTGTCACTTGTTAAGAGTCGAGGAGACGATAGCGAAGGAGAAGATGAAGAAGAAGGAGAAGAAGAAGCAGCAGACGAAGAAGAAGAAGAAGAAGAAGAAGATGATGATGATGATGATGATGATGATGATGATGATGATGATGATGATGAAGAGGAAGGAGAAGAAGTAGAAGAAGGAGAGGGGGGAGGGTCAGAAGGAGGAGAAGAAGAAGAAGAAGAAGAGGAAGACAAAGAAGAAAAATCATCGGTACGAATTAGTGTCTCGAACGAATCAAAGCCGATGTGTGCAAAGAGATTAAATGATTGCTAAACATGTATGCATACTTATGTACATTTAGAGTGGTTCCGGAAAAACCAAGAGAACTCCTAAAACCAGGAAGGCAGTAGCAGAAAACGTAGGTTTTTAGCCGCTTCGATTTTACATACGATGCTTTGGGAGTGCCATAATCGTGATTATGGGAGGGAAGGGAGGAAATGCAAGCATGAACCAAACTCTTGCACATTTGATAAGAAGCAAATACGAGGCTTAGGTTAGGTAATCTATGCACTGTCATTGCTCCATACAAACTTTCGCGTGACAGAGTTTCTAAATTTTACGCAAATGCTACATGGACAGCTTCCACAGTCTCATTCTTCCAGCTCTTTATGTTTCTTTAGTTTCAAATTAGCGTTACAGAAAGCGAAGTAATGAAAGGATCACGCTCCGGCGATATCTTTTGCTCTACTACACTCTCTGAAATTAGTTGAGCTACGAAAACGAATCACAACCCATGATCATATTAGTATTCAGAGAGCTGGTTTACGTCGGAGAGGTCGACTTTTATCTTCGAAAGGCAAATCTGTGCGTGGTAGGGCGAAAAACCCCAAGAGAAGAAGCAACAAAAAACTCCAAAGAAACCGCAGACTGAAAAGGTTTGGTGCAGTGAAAAAAACTGTCAAAGATAACAAGAAAAAGCTGAAACAAAAAAAGAAGGTGAAGAATAGTATCATCATGTGCTCGTTGCTGCACAATCATCACCTTAATTATCTTACAGAGAACTCACTAAGCTTCATCGATACACATTTGCTGTCAAAGGTGAGCGTCTATAAGTACATATGTATATAGCTTTCTTCGTCAGAGGTAGGGATCAAGTTTTAATGCATTGGTGCATGATTCGATCGCACTAAAACTGCTTCATGATTTGTTCTGGCCTACTGGTCAAGTCAATAATTGTTTACAGGCTGCAACATCCGTCACATGTTTATCTTGACAGTAGCTTCTCAGAAAATAAATATTGAACCATACATACATTGTACAATGTCACCATACTCATTTTTCTTACGACGAAAAAGTACACGAAAAAGTACCCGACCTGGTTCTTACAAGGAAAGGATACCAACATTAGTAGAATATTGAAGATGAGATGTAAGTCAGTAGACGCGCCTTTGAACGCTGATTCCAAATCCGCTTTCCTTTTTTGCGGAACAAGTTTTTGAAACAAGTTATTAGCGTTTAAGTGTCCAAGTTTATCAAGGTATAGGTGGCCTAAAATTGGCGAAAAGATGTACAGAGACACCGGAAAGTGGAAAATCAGTTCTGTATTAAGTATATTATTTGCAAGGAGGGACCAAAGCAGGTGAGAACTGCATAGTTATTGTTTTGGAGCTTTTCGTTGATTTTGAGCCACTCAGTGCTTGACAAATTTGGACATTCAAACGCTCTAACTTCTTTCGGAAACCTATTCCGCAAAGAAGAAAGCAGATTTGGAATCAGCGTTGAAAGGCGCGCTTACTGATATACATCTCATCTTCGATCGCCGACTAATGTTAGTATCTGCGAGATCAAGGGGAAGCAAGTGCTTTATCTGCTGTGCTTACGGGAGATAAGTGAACACAGTACTCTTGATTATTCCTTTACTTTTGAATAACTGAATGTGCTCCCGTCTTTTTGGCCACTAGGGTCGGAAAGTGTGCAGCTTGAGGTGCTGTACAAAACGTAAGATGTAAAGCCAGAAATGTAGTGTTTGCTATTAGGCAGATTGCCCTACATATCAGCACGCGGTATTCAAAAGTATGCCGTACTTAAAGGCAGTGGCTCGGCAAATCTCAGCCTACTCAAACTTGCGCTTACCTGTGGTTTTTCAATACGCTGATCCCGAAAAGCCACTTTTAAAAGCTTGAAAACCGCGAAAATAAGCGTTTTTTAATGCCCTTCCCTTTGGAATTGGACGAGTAGAGCAAGGCCGATGGCGCTAAATCGTTGCAGGACCCAACGGTTATAGCGTTGCGGCGGGCCGCCTCCAATGGTGAGAAGGAAGTTGCCAACTCGTCCAGATGCGTGTAAGATTGGCCTGCGCGTGTAAGTTTGAGAGCGATTTTCTCGGCAGGGAAAGCATGCTCTGCACCGGGGGATTGCACTGTTTTCATACTTGAGCGATAAGGAACCTACCGCGTTAAAATCTTGAGTTGTTGAATTTTGCCGATCCACTGCCTTTAAGTGACATCATAACATTTTGCACTACACAGGTGTAATCTGATTTGGCTTGGAATTTTTTCGGATCTTAAACAAGGTATTGCTGTTGAAAGAGCTTAAAAAATTGACTGAGACTTTCTTCAAGCCTCTAGAATGGGCTACCGCCGGAGCAAACTCAGCAAATACTCTAGCAAACCTGGTGATTGAACAAAAAGGATATATCATAAACATATCGTAGCATATAAGGCAATGAGAGATGTCGTCTGTCTTGAGATTAGAAAACTCAAGAACAGCTTGCGCGAGTTCCTGAAAAGTTCCAACAATGCTTTTTCATCCTTAACAAGTAATAAATCATTCAAGGTGAGCTAAAACTTGAACGTAATACTATTTTCCTCAAAAGAAAGAATAAAATGTCAAAATGTTGAGCTTGAACTTGCTATGATGCTCGGGAAATAGCGGAGCACTAATTGTAAGAAAACAAATCATTTTTTAGCCATGGAAGCTGATCGCTCGTTTGGACTCTGTAGACGTTAGAACAGGAACTTTCAAAAAAAAACCGTTCTTATGGTCATTTATATAACCAACTTTGAGTTTAACATCGAACCCATATTCTTAGAATCAACTTCAGCAAACTCTCAAAGTTCTCTTTCTTTTTCTAAGAAAAGTGCCATTTGCTTTGCAAAATTAGTGTTGAATGATAGTTATTGGTTATGCTTTTCAAATTCTGAAGATTTTGAAATGTCTGATGCTTTTCGTGTACGACACGAAGAAAGTGCTTAAAGGTAGCAGGATTGCTCAAAAATCCATTTATTGCATTTTAGTCCATCTCCGTCAACTTTTTTTGGAAGGCGAGAATATAAAATAGTTGGCAAACTTGGGCATATGAAAATTATTCGGAAGTATTCTGATTCGCGATTATCCAAAGTGGTCGCAAGAGCAATCATTTCATATGCATGACTGTAGGAAAGAGGAAGTACTGCAAGTGGCTTTATGAAAGGTCAAAAGGTACGAGTCGGAACGAACTTATAATTAGATAAACACTATTTTAATGATACATACATCAGATTATTCCAAAAGTTCTTTCTCCGTATTCTACCTATCATAAAGAACGTGGCACAAAAATAGGCAAGCGCAAAGTATTTGACGTAATTCTTTTCCTCTTATTAGCACTCATGTTTCTGGATTATTTGCTTGTGATCATCAATAATTGCCGAAGTTTCGAACCCACAGTTTTTACTATGTCCCTGTTCAGCAACATTTTTGTGATTTTTCCATATAGTAAACAAACCATGAATATTGTGAAGAGACTGCTTCCAAATATCCATCAAATTTCAGGGTTTCTTGGGACTTCCAAAAAATTCATTGTTTTGCACTTTTTTCTACGTAAAATCATGGGTTTCTTTGGCGATTATTTGCGCGAAGGTATGATAGGTTGAAAAAAGAGAAGAACTTTAGAATTTTTTAAACGACCTGATAGTATTCGTTTAGAATTGTGTGCGTCCGATCTGAATAAACCTCAGACTTTTGAGGTATCAATTCAGCTATCCGAACAACCACGAACAAGAGCTTCTACCTATCCTTATTCGTTTAACCTCAGGGTTGATTACAATCCACCGCAATGATATTTATGTGCAGCTGATCAATGAAACGTCCTCACTTACGAGTTAAAACTGTCATTCTTGCCAGACATCACATTTGTTCGTGAGGTTGCGACCCAAAAAAACCATGCTCTATAGAGAATTTTTGATAGTTTTTGTAGCATTTGTAGCTTACTGAAAACTAAAGCATCGTGACATTTGTTAATTCGTGAACATCAGGCTAATGTCTTGAAAAACATGGAGCTCATTTACTCAGTCACGTTAATGTATTTGTTGTCCAATATTCATTTAAATAATCACCACTCTTGTATCCTGAGCAGTTGAAACATTCCAAATTTTCAGGATGTATATATATATGTTTACTGAATAATTTTTTCATCAGTGACTCTTATCCAGTTGATCCGAACATTCGAAAACACTTTCGATTATATCAATGAGTGCTGCCGCAACGCTCCATTCCTTTCTTCCCTCCTGGAAGGTGTTAGATAAATTTTCTTTGTGATGTGACAGTCTTCATTCCAATGAAGCAAAAATAAGGAGAGGTTCCGAAAGCGCATTTACTCGTTATCAAACACAAAATAATCGGAAGAAGTTCGAAAAGTTGACTTGATTAAGTTAAAATTCTTATTTAACCATAAATAGTGAAAAGAAAGTTCATTTGGATACACTTGCCTGGCACATGGAGCGAAATTCTCAAGTGTACCATAGTTTCGTCGAAGATACTGACAAAGGATACTTTTGCGGGACATCGAACCGAGTTCTCCATATTTCAAGTAAATTCCAAACATTTTCTTATTCTTCTTTCCGAAAGACCCGGCGCGCGCGAGGAGTCCATGTTCAGCGAATTGTCACATGCAAATTATAAAACTAACATGTAGTAGAAATCTACTTGAGGTAGGCTCCACTGTGATGCATCTCAATGCCATTCGATCACAGTCACTACAATGTAATCGCACACTGAAACAGCATTAGTGGCTCAATGAATTGATCAATAGTTGGTGAATCTAAAAAAGGTGGATGTTTTACGCGAAAGTCAACACGTTACTATCCTTCATTTCTTGCATGCTGAGAGGTGTGACATTTGATAAATAAAAACGTGCTGTGGGTCTGAGGAGCTTGTTTCCGGCAACAGTTAGTCGCAATTACGTCTTTGTTCAGTGGGCGAGCTGAGGAGCTTGTTATGGCGTTTTAGCAACATATACTATTTGACAAAACCAATGGAATTCCCTGCGTTTGAACAAATTGAGAGTTACTATTCAGCCAGAGAGAAGCATCAATGTGATTCTATTATGGTGATCCAAAAGTAATGGGGCACCTAAAGAATAAATGTGAATTTTCTCTAACAAAAATCATAACTGGAGGCAGTTTTGGCAGATGCTAGTACATATCAAAACGATCTCATCGAGGTCTATGGGGCACTGTCGCATCGCGTTAACCTTATAAGGGCCAAAATTTAAAGCTCGTCACTCTGAGTGATTTCGTACTTGGAGCACCAAAGCCGTAGTAGAACAGAGGCCGTCAGAAATATCTGTGCAGCAATAGAAAGGGAGACCGCCACTAAATCCACTGCAGCCTGGTGGTCCCAACGCTCTCCAACAGAAGTTATAACATTGGGTATTAGGAGACACACTATTCATTCTCTCATCAGGGTTATCTGATGAACTCGATTTTAACGGGCAGCTTGATAGAACATTTTCCACATTATCCAAGCATATGCAAATTACCTCGACCTTCCATATTTAAAAAAATTATGGGCCAAAACATGCGTTCTCCTAAAAATCTGAGCCAAAAATCGCACTTTTCAAATAATTTGACTCTTTTATACAGAATAATGAAGAATTCTTCCACATCTGAGTAACTATTAGAAAGAGCTTCGAAAGCCCTATCGAATGATAGGTCACTTGTCGGGGGACTTTGGTACACAACAGCACAAACTCGGATGGCATTTAAAAAGGTCTGCCTGACTTCTTCGAAGCGTCGCGAGAAGAATTGTTGGTGAGATGCTGCAAGGTCCCGTCAGGAAAAGGCGCGGATGTCATTTCATACAAAAACGTTCAGATTGCTTGTTGTTTATAGTTAACTAGCTGGCTTACCCGGCTCCGCCGTATCCGGACCAAACTTGGCACACATACACTTCGGGCCCCGGCGGGTGTCACAGTCCACTTTTCGTTATCGATCGATGTCGATTTTACCGATTTTTATCGATTTTTTTGCAGAGTTCACCTACAGGGCTAGGAGTTGGCACAGGGGGGAAGTGAGCATGGGGATTCCGAATACAATATTAGTTTTCAGAATTATCGATTACTTTTATTGATTTTATCGATTTTTTGTAAATTTTGACATGCGAGGCTGGGATTTTGCACAGGGGGTAATCGAGCATGCTGATTACGAACAAACACAATATTAGTTTTCAGGATCGTCCATTACTTTTATCGATTTTATCGATTTTTTGAAAATTTGAGCTAGGGGGCTGTAATTTGGCACAGGGGTGTAATCGAGCATGCTGATCACCCCCCTTGGGAGTGATCAGCATGCTCGATTACCCCCCTGTGCCAACTCCCAGCCCCGTAGGTGAACTCAGCAAAAAAATCGATAAAAATCGATAAAATCGATATCGATCGATGACGAAAAGTAGCCTATGACACCCGCCGGGGCCCGTAGTGTATGTGTGCCAAGTTTGGTCCGGATCGGTTCAGAAATGAAATTTTCTATTCGGAACATACGTACAGACAGACAGACAGACATACATACATACAGACAAACAGACACTTAGCTTTATATATAAGATCAGAGACAAGCCCTCAAAAATGTTCAGAAAATCAAAGTATTCTACTTTTGGAACACTCTAATATTTGTAGGACATCTGAATAGATTAAAGTCATGTGTTATTTAAGCACAAGCCCTAGAGTACATCTTGAGTACAGGAACTTCCAGCCTAAAGAGCCGGAAGCTTACTATAATAAATTATTTGTAGTCCCATTTCAATGAAAACTCATGTAAATGAGCGCGATTGAAGAAAATAAGGCTAGATTGAAGGATAACAATTCGTTATAATTGTGTGTTCATTGCAGTATGTTATTCTGCGGCATCTGCAAATATTTGATGTTTCGAAATCCTCGAAAAGGGCTTAGGAAATTAGAGCAACCCACAAGCGGATTGTTAAAGTAGTGGAGTTTGCTTAACCGAAGCAGGATAGAAACATGCAGTGTTTGAAGAAACAAAGTTTGCTCAAATGAATTCAATAAAGCTGACAGTTATCGTGGGCGACTTTGGCTATCGTACAAAAGTAGCGAGCAGTACGGGAAGCCGATTCCCACTTCTCACAAGAATGTGGAGAGTCCTGATTTTCGGCACGGTTTGTTTTTTACAATCTATACAAACTATCATAAGCAGCCAATTTCAGGTATCGCTATTAGTACCTAGTACTGATGGTTGCTTGCGTACGTTTATTGATCTATTTCTATGATCTTACCAGTCCGTATTGTTCAGCTTTCTCTAAGAGTGCGGAAGCAGAAGCAGCGCCGATGAGACCAAAACCAAGGAAGAATTGTACTAATGTTGGTCTCAGCTGTAAGTTTATTGGTTCATTTCTATGTTAGATCTTACCAATCCTTATTGTTTAGCTCTCTCCAGAGGTACGGAAGGAGGAGCATCGCCGGTAAGAACAAAGCTAAGCAATGATTCTTTACAAAGTCGCCTACATGAGTAGTGGCGCAATAATATCAAATAGTCTAAATGCCAAGCAAAATGTCTCTTCTAGATAGAAACTTCTGTGTAAAATCTTGCCTATCACATTCTAGCTTTTGCTTGGATATTTTATCTTCCACGCGAATTTTCAACATCACATTTTTGATGCATTATGGTGCCAGCAACGGATTTGCATTATTTAACCCGTTTTAGGGCGATAAAAACATGCGCTCAACTGCGATTATTGTCCTGGTGAAGAGGAACTCTCATGATTCTCACTCGAAAGTCTTAAGCAATTCTGTTTCAATCCGGAAGTTCGACCAGGGCTAAAAACTATGAAGAAAACGCTTGAAGGCAGCGTCCCCTCAAAATGATGGGTGCCGGTATTTTACAGTACTCTAATGGTAGACACTCCAGATATCTATCAGTGAAGTCTGGAGAAAAATCGTTTCTGGAAAGCCCAAAATCCGCTCTGAAAGCCTTCCGGACCCCGTCCACTTCTTACACGTGATTTTGAGCGAGCGCGGACAATGTGAACTTCGAAAAAAGCTCATTTGCCATTATCAAGCGCTGAAAAGCTCAGATATGGCTTCAGCTGGCGAAAAGGCTCGGTAGAGAGGTGAAAAAGACGTGAAAATGGGAAGCGAAATTTTGCCGGGACATGTCATTGCGGAGCGAAAAAACGCACTGGAATGTAAAAAATCCCGCACACTTCATGCAAACCCTTCCGTATATTATATGTAACGTTTGTAAACAGCATAATGGCCAAATGTAAATCTTGGTGGCTTCAACATTCAAAAAACAACTGTATTCTGCAGTTCTGAGGTTCTGATCTTCTGTATCCAGAGTATGAAAGAGAAGGTTTTGCATTAAATTATGGTCACAGGGGCTTTTTACTAGTTCGGAATTTGAGTGTAAAACTTAGAATCTTGCGTGATAAGGGTTTCTAAGGGATAAGGGTGCTTTCCTCTTTAGATTCGCTTGCAAGTGATGAGTTTAAAGCTCTTACACCATGACTCTTGAAGAGCGGTAGTTTACCCTTTTTTTACAAATGCCCATTTACCTCGTAAGTGCCATGCCTAAACTGTTTCCTAAAACTGATAGCAAGAAGACCACTGGAGATGCACATGATTTTATCTTGACATTGTGTTACTTGATGTTTTCGTTTTTTGTAATAACCACGTTCCTTTGGCGCATCAATGGATGCATTCAATAAATAATTAAATAATGATACTTTGGCCTTAAATGCTAACTTGCATCTCACAATCAGACCCATCGATTTTAGGTGAAGTTTCTACCATCGAATTGTTCTGAACCTGGTTATATAGAATGTAAGTTTATGCAAATATCTATGCTGTTCTTCATCAATTCTCCTTATTCAGCTCGATCTCCGGATACGGAAGGAAGCGCGGTGAGAACCTGACTAAGGAATAAGGCCTGATTTATTATATTCGCACATCAACCATAAAATTCCTTTTGCGAGTATACACGGTAAACGCATCTCGATGCTCTAACATTAATGTTTCTTTATTACTTATCGCAGCTCGAACCAAACCTGTGAGCTTACAAGGGAATGGTCAGAAATCGAAGTGGCCAATCCATGCAAGCTGCACACCATTAGATGCAGCATAAAACGCTGACTTTAAACCTTCCTTATCTGCAGAGCACTTTTGTGGACGAAATTATGAGCCGTTAAAGGCCATTATTTTGCTAAGAAATTATGTGTGCAAAGGGCAAACTCGGCCGTACAGAGCAATACCCGGCTCAGCGCAAGACCAAAACATGCAACTAGGTCACTTCATATGGTTAGTACCTAAAGGTGAGCGAAAAAGGCAATAATGTGCCTAATCTCGCGATTTTTGTGTACGATTTTTACGCATTAAAGCTGATCAAAACTTCGCTTACAAAGGCGCTCTGCAGATATGGAAAGATTTGAAATCAGCATTTTATGCTGCATCGAATGGTATGCAGCTTGTATGGTTTGGCCACTTCGACTTCTGACCATTCCCTTGTTAGACAAGTGTCAAAACGGCTTTCTATAAATTTAAAATTTCCTGAAACCTTGAATTTGGGATGCTATAGTGTAATCGCTTGACTGCGATAACTCTAAACAGATTCTGAAGTGGAACAACAAATTTAATGTTGAGCGCCATATAATCGCAGTACTATGTTTATATGCTTTATATATTGTTCTCGTTTTCAGGCCAGGCCTCGTGTAAGAATCGATCTCGGTCCTGGAAGACCCCTTGTTTCTGTGAGTACGCATGTCATGAGTCAGCGAGACGCTGATTACTTTGCGCAGTTATCGGATGAAAGCAAAGTATTTGTGTTTAGGTTGGGACGGACGACCCTTCTTCTGAGGTATCAATGACTTTTTACACTTTTAGGATGCGTTTTGTTTTCGGTTGCGTACCCCTTTCACAGAACTACTACCGGAATTAGTGTTTTTAGTAGAAGTGTAACAAGTGCAGCAAGAAAGCTTCAGGAAGACTTGACTCTAAATTTGGGTAGTAATAGAAATTATAAAATCTCGTAAAACTGCGTACTTGGTTGCCCATTAGACGCGAAATCATTGCCTAGTTGATAAAAGCTCAAAGAATGACTCCGAAAAATAGAAAGATGTAAGAGGAAGGCTAGACGTAATCTAGTCAATCAAATGTAAATCAAATTCATGAATTTGCGCAACTGCAATATATTCATTGAATAATATGAATTTTTAATAAAGCAAATGGCCTCATTGCTAGTTTAGAAAGTAGAAATTCTTGTAACTACTCGTCCAGAAATTTTTAATGTGACATGACTACATGAGTATGTAGGTTGGAAGGAGCGAGTGGGCAAATACGAACAGCATAAAATATGGTACAAAGTCAATTTTTATCATTAGTTCTAAGTCAAAGGTTCAGCGTGATGTTCAATGTCTGCAACCATATTTGCATAATAATTTACACTATTTCAGTTTCCTCTGGCACATTTAATGCGAGAGTCGACGATTATAGATTTTGATTCCTTCTTGATTACATTTCACTGCACCATTTTGAAGACGCTCAGCTTGCTTTTTATTGAAGGAGTGCTCACAATGCATACAAGATATAGGATGGCTCTTGGAGAAGAGGATTAAATATGAAGTAATCAAACGTGAACTCTATTATTGGTATTGCTGCAAGTCGCGTCGATGCTGCTGGATCTCGTCAAGAAGAGACGTTAGGAGAGCGCTCCAAGTTTATAAGTGGCAGTGGGGGAGGTGTGATCACCATTGTTTGTTCACTCATAAAATATCATAAATTTGCTTATTTTACAGGAATTATAGATCCCATGAATCTTACTTGTAAATGGTGAGTTTTACCCCATATGATGTTGTGTATAGCGATCCCTGGGAGGACTTATGAGCAAATGGTGTACAGTCAGTAAAATTTAGTACAATTTGGTATATGCAGGTGTCCCAGAAATATGTGCACACTATTTGAACGTATATAACTCTCTTCCCACAAGAGCTGCATAGTGTCATTTAGTAGAGCAGGCTTCATAGAAGTACAGCATTGATCGAACCATTCATTTCTCTTCATTAATGTAGGATTACGGTAGGAACTTTCAGCATACAGTAAGCTACCATAGCTTCCTAAGCTCTCTACCATTGCAAGATAGGCCGTCTCAGAAATTTTCTTTAGAAAATTTGAAAAGTTGTGTAGCGGTGTTGAACTTACTGTATTCATTAGACAACTTATTACGAGTTTTTTTAGCGTTCGAATGATTTAATCACTTTTCGAAAAAGAAACAGAAAAAACGTTGTTTCTGAACGCGGTTTCTTGGCATAGCTTATAAAAACCCTTGTGAAAAAGTTCGAATTCCATTTTCATAATCAGCGACTCAGTTTACCGCAGGATAAAGTTTTCGACCTGTTGAGCATCGATTCTGGCACTCTATGTAGCCATTGATGCCTCACAACCCTTTTTATTGTTCCTACCGTAATCCTACACTAATAAAAAGAGAGAAGTGATTCGCCCTATACTGTGCATCTAAGCTGAAACCTGCTCTACTGAATGCTACACAAAGCTAAGCAAAAGGCTATGTCGGAAGTTAGAGGCGATTGAAAAGTGTGCACTTACTTTTGGGACACCCTGTATATACTACAAAGTACCCCTATTCCACACTTGTTTATTTCAGACCTTCTCAGTCTAATCGTTTTGGTTTTTTGAAGAATTACTGATCGTCATTGCTATACAGGCTGCAACAGTCCAAGCCCGTGAAACAACTTCGCAGAAAAATAAATTTTTTTATAATGTGGTCTAGTGACACAATTACACTACTTATTATCAATTGTGAACATGGAAACTTGAGATTGATAGTGAGCACGTTGTCTACCACTAGTCTTGGACCAAAATAATTTGTGATCACAGCATGTGAAAAAAAGGCTGTTTGAAAATTTTATCATGAAACTTTGGAACAAAGCGGCTGGAACGAAACGATTGAGAACAGTTGAGCATCGTGGTCCTTACTGGCAATAAAATTCGGTTGTATTGCTCATAAAAGGCAGCCCTTTATCCATTCTTGATGATTCCACTGAACTCACACACGAATAATCATGAAATATTAGGTTGTAACAAAACCTTCATAACTTTCCCCGAAGATATTTTTCATTTTCAAATTAAGTGAAGGGCTTCAACTTTTCAATGTGTACATATCACACGTAGAAATTTTTGAATTTTTCGAAATTTTTCAGAATTATTTTTGGCAAACTTCCAACTTGCGTTATTGAACAGCCTAGACTTTAAATTCCTTTATATTAGTACTAATGTCCCTAGGAATCCGACAAAAATCTGAAAGCAAAAAAAAGAATGACAGAATTTTTAATAACAAAAGAAAAAATGGAGATTTGGGATTTGGAGATCCGTCACAAATTTGTCTTTTATTTACTGCAAACCATACCTGTAAAAGTGGAAATGATGCCGATAGATTCCTTCGTCCAATGCTTATAATGCCGAATATTAGGCTTCGTCAAAGTTTCTAGAGTTTTTAGAGAAAAATAAAAAAATGTTCTAGAACCTATGTTACGACCTAACAAATATTAGGTTGAAAAAAAGTTTGCGGGCATGTGCGAAATTTTTCTTTAAAGCTGGTACTTCATGCAGGTTGATCTTTTTTGAAAGTTGCGAATCTGTTCAAAAAACACGTTGTATACGAGACATGTGTATCTTATTAGCTTCTCAGCGCTCCATTTCGGACCGCCAGCATGCGCAGGAAAAGGATCGACTTGAAAGTCGTCGTGTTCCTGCATGGTTTTCTCAGGCAAGAGCGCTGAAAAGCTTATATTCAGTAGCTACATAAAATTACCGGGCTGTTTATAGAAAATTCACGAGTGTAGGATGCCTCTTGCAAAATTTTGTTTGCTGAAAGTGAGAAATTGGCCTTTTTTACACCCTAAAAATACCATCTTTTAAATGAATCTAAGTTTTTCTTTTGCATGGAATTTTGTTTGGGTAATGTCTTGCGCATCTTTTGAGCCCCTTACTCAGGCGCAGCTATACACGCAGAATCGACTACAGCTATTAAAAGAGTTGACGTCAGAGGCATGTTTGACACCTTGTAATTTTTTTCGCTTGTAGCAAATTTCGAGCGCAGCTGCGAATTGATAGTCGAAACGTTCCTCGTTCAGACATTTTGAGACTTACAAGGGAAGGAAGGTTGGTTGAAGTGGCCTTTTGAAGTAAGGTATATATTGACTTGTAGAGCTTGGAACGCTGATTCCAAATCTACCTTTGCTATCTGCTGCGGGCTTCTGGGCAAGGAGTTATTAAGATTTTTGAAAATAAAAACCTGAATGCAAAAATAGGGTAAAATCAGTTGTAACCTTTTCCCAATGTTCAAATGAGGCAGCAGCGAATTGGTATATTTGAATCAAGAATATTTGTTGCACCGAGTAACCCGACTACTAATTTTAAGCCCTATAAAAAATGTTACGACTGATTTTAGCCTACTCTTGCATTCAGATTTTTACTCACAAAAACCTTCATAGCTCCTCGCCCAGAAGCCCGCAGCACATATCAAAGGTAGATTTGGAATCAGCGTTCCAAGCTCTACAAGCCAATATATAGCTTATTTCAAAAGGCCACTTCGACCAACCTTCCTTTCCTTGTGACTTTGCTTCTTTAGCATGAAAAATTTGCGAAATAAGAGAAATGGTAATTATGCATCTTCAAATCTTCCTTTTTCGTGTCTAGATCAGATACGATTAGGCATTGATAAAAAGAAGCGTCACTAGAAAGTCTAAGGTCTCTACGGCAGAGCAATGCAAACCAGGGCCTGGTGCAGAGCGTATGGGAGCAGGCTGCACTTCGTTTCTGGGGCGAAAAGCGAAGAGGACATCTTTTTTGTGACTAGAAATTAAATATTTTCGAATTCAAATTCTTTTAGTTTCGTTATTTGAAGTTTTTGAGAGTTTTACGTTAGGGGCTGAAGTTTAAGGCGGCCTCCATGAGGGCATAAGCGGTTTACCAACCTCGAGAAAGAGCCATACCTCCGCAAAATTCACAATGCGGCGGAGTTCGACAAGAATTCTAAAAATTCTTATTGATCAAACTTCTCTCCTTCAACCTGACAAACATTTTTTGTTTTGTGGGAAAATCGGGCGATTTAAATTTGTTCCATTCGTGGACGACTTCATTCCAAACGGGACAACTCAATAAAATCATTTATAGGTATTATTCGGAGCGTTCACATTTACTAATTCGCTTCGTATGTTTATATTTATAATTTTTCATCGCATGTACCCAAATCTTACTCATCGAGGGTATTCGTTTGTGTGTAGATTAAGATATGTTGAATAACGTAAGAACAGCGGAAATAATCATGGCATTATATTGTTAACATAGGCAGACGCTATACTCCTCGAGGAGTATTGCGGCTGCCATAGTAGTATTGCTACTCCAAACGATAGCATTCTTCCCATATCTTAGCTTCTAGATTGTCAACTCTGTCTAGTTTTTTGCATTACTGGTTGGGTTTGTTAATTAACTTGTGGCCACATCTGGGTTATTGAAACCTGCTCTCCGGAATCGAACAAATAATGTGATCTTAAGCTATAACATTATCACAGAATAAAATTTGGCGTTTCTGAAAAGACTTCAATTTAAGCAACGATTCCCATCTAACGTTGATTGATATAAACTACAGGTCGCCATAAAACAGTGAAAATAATTATTTGATTGCGATCTCTGCGCCCACAGGCTAAATTGTTGTAATGCATCATTTGTAAATTTCCACCTCAACGCATTAATGACTTTATATTAGGAAAAATTATGGACCACACATTTCATGCGTTAATCTCCTACTCTGATGACAAGCTTCTTATTTAGTCATTTCGGAACAGAAGGCGTTGTTTGGAAAGTGCTGCCACAAAAGCAGATACAGTAGCCCACAAACTGTGACCAAATCTTACAGTTTAGTAT